TAAACATGTAAACATCAACACTGTTTGTGCTTTTTTGTCCCTTCATGCACCTTCATCCTCAGGGCTTTTATTTTGACAATCTCGCTAAAAAAAAAAAAACATTATTTGATAGTGATTTTTTATATCCATGCTTTCTAAGATCTTATATTTCAGACTTTATATCCTGACCCAGTTCCTGCTCACGAGTTTAAGTCCATCTGTGCGTGTGGAGCGCAGATTTGAACGTCCCGGCTCGATGTAACGCCAACAAATACCTGCAGATCAATCTGTGCAGAAGAGACAAAAACAATCTCTGCTTCGGTCGCGAGCGCACAGACTCGCTGTTTTAAGCTGCTTTGGTGTTTGTTTGTGAGAATGACACGCTGACAGTTTTTGTTTATGGGCGCTCTATAAATAAACTCGAAGAGAGAGAGAGAGAGAGAGAGAGAGAAAGAGAGAGAGAGAGTCAGAGAGAGAGAGAGAGAGAGAGACGGCGTGGAAAAAAAGAGGAGACTGAGTGTTGGTGACACGGGGAGGATGACAGCCAGACTGATAAATACACCACACACACACACACACACACTCGGCCCCCTAATCCTGGTTGACAATCTTCATCCCCAGACCTCTTAGAGACCCTCCATCACGCCGGGGTTACTCCAGAGAGCTGTCGACCATCAACATACCAATTTCAGGCCTGGGACGCTCGCCGCCGCCGCTGCCGCACACCCACTTATCAAACCCATATAGTCCATAACGCCTCGGATACAATCACACAAACACTGCAATGACCCTATAGACACACACACACACACACACACACACACACACACACACACACACACAGAGCTAATTGCATGTAATCAAACCCGCCGAGCCGTCACTTCAAACCCTCACGTGTCCCGAAGTCGTGCGGATGACAGCGACACGCCGAGCTGAAGGACAACCCTCAATTAACGGGCGTGAAGCTGCACAGTCCTTTCCCATCATGCACCTGTGTTCAGTTTCTGTCTCCCTGTGTAATCAGTTAACGAGCCCTCTGATTGGCGGCTCTGTTAAAGTGAGACGGCGGCGAGGTTTCTGGGTGAGAGCTGCAGAAGAGCTCAGACACTCGGAGTTTTCAGAAATATTCGACTTTTTCTGTAAACATGTGAAGCGTTTGTTGAAGGAGAACTGGTCCAGTTTCAGTTTAAAGAACAGCTGCTCCATGTGCAGAGGGACTCTCAGATGACCACAGCCATCCAGGGAAACATCCTTTTTAACTTTAGCGAACAGGAAGTAACATTTTAAAAGAGGGTTGGGCAGTGAGAAGGTATTAAGGTTAAACTGGCGCTGTCTTAAAAAGCAACAGTATCAGTTTCAATACCGTCATAGCACCAGCGCTCTGTTTTGTACGTCCAGAGTGTTATTACCGTAACTCTGTCAAAGTTTGTCCGATCAGAAAAAATTCAACAGTGTTGGAAAGCTGAGAGTTGTGAGCACGCGAAAATATATATGATTTAACCACAACTTCTTAATACTATAACTCCTTCAAAGTTTGCTCAATCTGAAAAATTCCAATGCTGATTGACAGCTGAGTATCTGAGCTTTCTGTCAGTATATGATGTTTGGTATATATTACGGTAATCTTGAACGGGACCACCAAAACAGCAACTTTGACAGAAGATAAGGGAGAGGAGAGTGAAGGAAGACAGAGAAAGCTAAATAGTGATAAAAAAGAAGTAAATAGTAGGAATAAAAAGGCGACCGCGAGAGATGGAAACACTTCCAACCTAAGGAATCATCTCTGAATCAACCACCCGCTCACTGCTGCAAGGATACATTTGACCCTGAGTTCACTCAGTGCAGCAGTTTCGACGCCTCCCGCTGATACGGATATAGGACCGACAACAACTAAGTCCACCGCCACTTATATACAGGTCTTCAGAAGTACAAAACAACGCGGTACACAAGGGACTGTGTTTGTTAGAAAACCTGAACTGATGCAGCGACAAAATACTGACGAAGGAAACGGTCTCTTTCATAACGGTGGAAAAGAAGAATTCTGCACAAAAACTGTTCTGGATGGTTCTGTTCATGTAATTATTTGACTTTTGAATCTGTTTCTAATCAAGTTGTTAATATCGTCCACATTATCTTGTTATTATTTCATTATCAGTATTTGGTTTTCAGTTTCTGAATGATGTCGACACAAACCAACAGTTTGGTGACCCTCTCTGAGTCTTAAGTCATCATTTAAATTACCGTATACCGTGGTAAAATGTGGAGACGGTATCAAAATCTGGATACCCTCCAGCCCTTCTTTAAAATCACCCTCTCACCTCGTACACTCATGCTTTCATAACTCGACTCTCCTGACTGACCCAGAGCGCTCCATTAAAACCTGCATCATCATTTTTACCTCCAGGAGGATGAGGAGCTGTTTTTTCCCTGAACTCAAAGATGTGTTTCTGAAATGAGTCCTCCTCCTCCCCTGGAGTCCATCCAAGCTTTCACACACCTACAGTTTGGCTCCCACCTCAGCCGACCAGCAGAGCCCCGTGGTGATGAGGAAGCAGCACAAATTGGCTCGGCTGAATTACTTCATTGGTTTATTTGTGGAGCAGAAAGAAGAGAAGCGGTCTCCTGACTGCAGCAGAACCAATCGGTTAAAGAAGAAGCGCCTTTTGGTTCCTGGAAAGAGGCTGAGAGCGCACAAACGTTACCTGACTCGCCCTCAGACCGTCTCTCTCTCTCTCAGCTGGTGTGAAGGGCACCATCATCTGGGCGAGGAGCTGCAGGACATCAGAACATGGATTTCAGAAAACACACACTCGAACGCACGCTCACGGCCGCGAGCACGCTCACAGCTGAAGCGGAAGAGATAACAGCTAAAGCGACGGCGGTGAAAAGGTAATCAGGGGTGTTCAGCCGTGCAGGGATGGAAGTTCAGAGGAAAGTTTGAGGGTTTGATTTTCACTTCCAGCAGAGCAGGATGGAGGGAGAGGTCTGGGTTTAATAACACCGACATAAAGTCCCATTTGACTGCTAAATATCCAGGAAGAAAAGTCGACAACGGAACAGTCAGGGTATCACTGGAGTTATTTTCAGAGGGTGTCAAAATGGAGGAAATGATTTTTCTGATAATGAATTCGTCTTTCAAGAGACACAATTGATGAAGCAGCACTTATGATCGCACATCTGTCCTCATACTTCACCCGACAAGTTGGCCGTCATCACTCTTGTTAAGTAGCACCTCCAATCAGACTAAAAGCTCCGTGATAATCACTCCACTGTCATGGCGTCATTGAACCCAGTCTGAAGTTTACCTTCAGGATCATTAGGGTCAAGATTTGATCGATTGTAAATATGTTTCCTTTACGTGTTCAAACATTGATTTAAGTCTTAATAAAGAGGACGACATTTCAGATTACAGACAACACCGTTACCTCCAATTTCCACCTTCATCCTGATCGTCTCCTAAAAGGTCGTATCCTCCGATCGTAGCTGATCGAAACCATTCGAGTTAACGTGTAACCCCTGTAAAAGAGTGTAACCCCCAACTTCCACCTTCATCCAGAACAGCTGCTATCGCCGGACTCCACAGCTATTTTTTCCAGACGTCTAGAAGTCTAGAAGTAAATTTCCTCCTCTGGAAGGACACAATCTACTGCTCATATGTCCTCCTTTCCCCTCCCTCTCTGCTCCAGCAAGCCCCGCCCACAAACAGACGCTCCTGCTCGCTCATATCGTTCCAATTAAATTCAGATATAATGCAGATAAATAATGTTGACCCGGCTTTTTAGCTCTTGTCCAGTCTACCTCCGTTTTAAGCGCCCGTTATTCCTCCAGAGTCTCCGGTATTTACTTTGTTTTCTTGCTTGTGTCGGCAGTCGTGGCCAAAGGAGGATTCAGACAATTTTCCGAACTTTCTGGTTGGTTTCTACTGTCCGATATTGTAGCACGCTAACTTTGTTTGGGCTCCTGAACGACACGGGGGAGCAGCGTCTGCCTCACAACCAATAACGATATTTTGTTTGTACACCACAAAAAAAGATGCTTCTCTCACGGATTCTCTCCTGTCTGTCTGCTAAAAGTGAAACCAAAGTGAACAAATCCTTTTATTGTCATTAAACAAACTGAACGTTGACATTTAAAAACGAACACTCTTGGCTCTGAATCAAAAAGGACGAAGATAAAACACTTTAAAGTAAAATCAATGACCTCCTTAAAAACAGACTCACAGTTCTGTCGGCCGTATTAATGAGGTTCTTCTCTGGACTATTAAACATACAGGTTCTCTGGTGTTCAGAGTATTTATTGAAGATGTTTGCAGCTCATTCAGAGCACATGTGTACATCTCTCCTTTCAGGTTAAGAAAAATCTTTAAAAGTTTGTCGGACTCTCCAAACTTTCACTTTAATCACGTCCGAAACCTTCACAGGAAGTTCCTCTTTAACCCGAGTATCACGACTCTCCTGTTCGATTTCATGAGCGTCACCGATCCCGCCAACTCCATCAGCTTTCTATTACAAAATCATCCCTGATGTCCTGACACCAGATAAAAGCGGTGAAAGCAGATATCAGCATTAGCGCGGGCGCTCCGACATCAGCTGTGATCGGCGCGTGAAGAAGACGGCGAACTGATTAAAATGTCACGAGGAGCAAAACGTCTGAAAATGGAAAGTCAGTCAATCAGCCGGATCCCACCTCTTTATATTCATGACTTTATATATAGACTGACACTTTATCCTCTTCTTCTCTGCTTTCAATGACGCCTGCACACACACACACACACAAACACACACACACACACACACACACACACACACACACAAACACACACACACACACACACACACACAAACACACTCGGAGTGTAAAACATGTTCGTCTGAAACTGAAGCAGCTTCCTAAACCCGTCAGATGTCCTCTTCTCGTCTCTGAAGTCGCTCTCTGAAGTTTAACTCGTCTCTGATTGGAGTGGCGGTGAATTCAGAGCTTTACATCTGAGTCTGTCAGAGAAAACAACAACAACAACAACAACACACACACACACACACACTCACAATGGAAACCTCTGACAGCACAGCGAGTGCCTTTGTCAAACACTGTCATGAACATTTGCAATGCTGGCAGAGTCTGCTGGCATTGAGGGATGAGAGTGTGTGTGTGTGTGTGTGTGTGTGTGTTGTTTGAGGACACTCACACAGACAGTGAAATGAAACCTGTTTAACAGCAGATGATACCGGGAGCTCTCCAGGCTTTACTCTCATCTTTGTGCAGGTGAGCAGCAGCAGCAGCTGACCTACACACACACACACACACACACACACACACACACACACACACACACACACACACACACACCTGTGCAGACTTCCCTATGACAGACTGAAGGCATAAATTCAAACCCTCCTCCAGGTCTGGGCAATTTGGAAAAAAAAGATCATGATATATTTCGTCAAATCGTCCGATCTCGATTATTATCACGATTTTAAAAACAATAATCTTTCTAAACTGCAAGTTTTAACTCATCTGAACTAAAAACTGAAGAAACTAGAGATTAATTTCACATTTTATTTTCATACAAAGTCAATAAGAAAACAAATTAAACAAGATAAACTTAGAAAAATGTAAAAAAAAAAAAAACTCAGGGATAATGAAGACGCCATAAACATTAGATGATTCGATTGATTGCTTTGGTCTGGTGGTTGCACCGCTAGTTGTAGCTAAACTGCTAATGCAGCAGTGACAGGCTGTACAGACTCCGCCCACATTTTCATGTTTTCCTCATAATCACTCAGGAAGAACTTCTGAACAGATCTGTTGATGACACCATGGATGAGGAGATGCTGATTCTAGAAGTCTAGAAGTAGATTTCCTCCTCTGGAAGGACACAATCTACTGCTTATATGTCTATGTGTCTGTTTTTATAGAGACAACTCGTTATCGTGCGATTGAACGTGAATCTGCGAGTTCTTGTGAGTTCTCGCTATTCCAGCTGTCTGTAATCCGCCACGAAATTCGCCTCACAAGCAGATCTGGTTGGAATTGGCGTACAGCAAAAATCGGAGCCGTTCTGGATGTGGTGAAAATTGGGGACAAGAGGCCAATTTTTAGTAAATAAACCCCTAAAAGATTTACGATCATGAAACGGGCTGAATTTCCAACATTTCTATAGTAGAATCCCTTTAATTAACTAAAAGCACATCTACTACGACAACTGCAGTCTCCAGGACGGAGCCGAAACACGATCAGAGTTAATAAACAGACTCTCTCAGAAAACATGACCTGAGTCGGCAGGAAGTGAGACAAACAAACACAGACATGCAGAAAGCACTCTGCTGCTCTGAAGGGAAGAAAAGAAAAACACATAAAGAGTCAAATCTGCCTCCAACAACTTTCCGGTCTGTGGAGCATTTCTTCCATTAAGGCAGAAATGTTTAATCGTCTCTGCGCTGCTCTGATTTCATTGAGGCCCCGGGTACCTGAGCAGCGTTATCACCACCTCTCCTCTCAGACCGAGGCACGATGAAAACAGCCACCGAACCCCGAAGGGAAATAACGGCCAGACTGAGCGAGGCGGAGAGAGCGAGCGTGGAGACGCGCCAACCTGGAAGGAGACGCTTATTTCTTCCTGGTCCTGTAATTTCCATCAGAGCGAATACGGCGTGGAGAGGATAACACAGAGCTCCCGCGGCTGAAGGGTTGGACACAAAAACAGCCTCTGTGTCTCCGCTCAGCTCGGCTTTCTCCTCTCTTTAATTGCTGCAGTATAACTCTGTTATATCCTCCAGAAACCAAGGCCAGACCAGGATGAAGAAGCTCTTTAATGAACAAGTCTGATCTGCCCGGTTTAGCGTCTTTAGCAAACACCACATAAGAGCGCAGAGTTGGTGTGATTCAGCCCCGCCCTCCATGTCCTGGAGCCTCGTCCACCTCCGGGTTCTGCTCTCTGGGCAGCTCTGGGTCTGAGGTCTGGACTCACGGAGCGGCTGGACGAACACGATAAGGCTGCGCTGCCAGGGAGGAAAAACAGAGCTAATGGATACGAGCTGGAAACACACACACTAACACACACCACACACACACACACACACGTCCTGAGGGAGAGACGGGCCATCTCTGACTCTGGCCTCCTCTTCACCCCCTCACTCTGCTCCTCCTCAGGCTGACGTTTGTTTCTCTGTGTGGATTCATTTACAGACTTCAGCCGCTCATTCCTGCAGATTTGAGATTTCACTCTGACTCGGTTTTTACGTGACGCTGCAGGATTTTAGGATTAAGATCATCGCTAATTTAAAACATCGCTCTAACTTCTCTGATGAGGGGTTAACTCTTACGACCCTAAAATGAGTCTTTTCACGACTTCAGATCATTACAAATGGGGCCCAGTCAAGGTGAAAGTCAAAAGCATTGGTGCTACTGTAGATGCCAACAGACTACCAGCAAACACAATGTTTGCAGGACTTCTACAACGAGGATAAAGTGACATAGTCCAGGACCCGAGGGAGGACAGTTTAGCGATGGCGCTACAACACGCTACAGCAGGTCCGTTTGACAAGAAACACTTCTGTTACAGACACTTGTCTTACTTTGTTAAAGCGGTTTACCTGTCCAGCAGAAAGGTTACAGGGTCACCAAGATCCCCAAGCGTCCCCCATCGTTTATGTTGACCCGGCTTTTTAGCTCTTGTCCGGTCTACCTCCGTTTTAAGCGCCCGTTATTCCTCCAGAGTCTCCGGTATTTACTTTGTTTTCTTGAGGATTCCGACAATTTTCCGAACTTTCTGGTTGGTTTCTACTGTCCGATATTGTAGCACGCTAACTTTGTTTCTAACTAACTTTGTTTCTAACTAACTTTGTTTCTAACTAACTTTGCCTACCCCACCTTAAATCTAATTTAACTGTTTATTTTAATTCGGCGTAAATATTTCCCTTCCCTGTTTCCTCTGAATCTCTGAACATGAACTGTCCTCAGTCGTCTCTTCTCTGTATTTACTCTTAATGAGAAAAGTTTCCTACAAACTTTATTTTGACTTTTTTTTCTTCTGTCTTCACAAAGAAGAAAATATCTTGGATTCTTTCAACAGCTTTAACTTTTTTATTTATTTCTATTCATCCTCGACTTTTTCAACATCCTGTTTTGGCTTTTATTTCTCCTTTGACTCTTCTTCTTCTTCTTTTTAAAGTTTCCTGTAAGACAGACCTGACAGTTTTCTGAAGCACTCAAACATTTTCTGTTTCATGTCTTTATGTTTTAGTTTTTCTTCTCTGAGAAAGAAAAGAGCTCAGATACGCTGAGGCTGAACGCTGAGGAACGTCTCCTTACTGGGAGAACTGGGAGTGTACCTGTCCTCATATTTCAGCACCTGGACATGTTTAGGGAGAGCTCAAATATTGAAACGGGAAGAGTGATTTCGTTTATCTCATACAAAAAAAAGTGAAACTAAAAATTGGAAACCGGACGATCAGATTTTTAAAGAAATTTCATCTTTTTTTCATCTTCAACCTCTTTCAACCACGAATTTCAAAAACTGTCAAGTCTCTCCAAAGACGCCCGAGGTTCCACCTCCAAATTTTAACCTTTCCTCCGTCTGAACGCTTAAAAACTTTAACAGCTGAAAGATTTTTCAAGTTTTCAAGGTAAAACTTAAGAAGAAGAAAACGTACACGAGCAGCTCCAGTTTGCAGAGAAGGTTATCGGAGTGAAAGACGAGCTGAAAACTCGACCATGACTGACCGTCACTCTGAACCTGTGACGACCCCTGAAACAACACTCGTCAGGCGGCGGTGTGGCGCCGTGGGAGGAGGGCGAAAGTCAGGGAGAGTCACGAATTTAACGAAGCCGAGAAGAAGAGAGTGAGAAAGGAGGGGGAGCAGTCACGACGACCCGACGACGAACAAAGACGAACAAATCAAGAGAAGAAGAAGAAGAAGAAGAAGAAGAAGAAGAAGAAGAGGTTATTATTGAAGAGAGGCGTGAAAATTAAACACATTTTCACCTCAGCGCCTCTTTTTCCACCTCCGCCACAGTCTGATTAAAGCTCAAACGGATGTCAAGGCTGCAGGAAGCGGCGAACAACTCTTTCTCTTCAAACAGAGGGAGAACCCAGGTGCATTATGGGAGTGAGTGGAGGAGCAACACATCAACATCAGACTTCAGATGAAGGAGGACGGAGAAAAATGGACGACTTTAAGCGCTCCACTTGAAACGCCATTCTGGTCACTTAGAGTACGAGCTGAAAGTCAACCTTTTATTATTGACTGTTTTAATGCAGGAGAGCGAGGTCGGGATAATCACGCTGCGCTTAAGTGCTGCGAGGACGGCGCTCTGAACGCTAGATCAGGACCACGGCCGTAAATATGGAGGCTGACGTCCTGGAGCGGCACAGAAGAAGAAGAAGATGAAGATGAAGACAGAGACGAAGAAGAAGAAGGAGAAGGAGAAGATGACGAAGAACAAGATGATGAAGAAGAAGACGCAGAAGAATACAAAGAAGAAGATGAAGACGAAAAAGACAATGATGAAGAAGAAAGAGAAGGAGACGAAGAAGAAAAAGAAGGAGACAAAGACAAAGCAGAAGACCAAGAAGAAGAAGTAGACGATGAAGAGGAAGACGAAGTAGAAAAAGAAGAAAATGTGTTTGTCCGTCTTCATCGCCTTCATCTATCTCTAACTGCGAAGGTTTGGCGTTAACTGCTGCCGTATCCTGAATCCATTTTACTCCTGATGATTTTACAGGACATCAAAAACAACAGGAAGAGCCGACCTGAAGAGCTGAGAGCGACACCTACTGTTCATATTTGTAAAAGTGAACTAAAGACCTTTTCAGTCTGGATTTTAGTTTAATTTTGTTTTATTTTAAAATCTGAATTATGTGATTTTAACTTTATTTTAGTCCTAGAGTAATAATTTAGTGTTTAATTACCTCTTTTTTAATTAACCCTCTGTTATTGTTTGATTTTAAGACTGTCTCATTTAATTAACTTTTAACACTTTATCACCTTTATTATATTTTATCGTTTCAGTCCCAGTTCTGGTGTTTCCTCATTTCTTTTTTAACTCAAATTAGTGTTTCCTCAGTCATCTGTGGTGAGGTGAAGAGTCCTCACCTGGTCTTTTGTGTGTGTATCTGTGTGTGAGTGTATGTGTGTTGAACGGGGTTTGGTATTTGTATTTTTATTTA